CCGATTTGTCAGTGTGCAGGCACATATTAAAAAAATAGTCCAAGTTCTAACAACTTATAGCTCCATCACTTCATTTGTTTTTTATTTTTCTTTTGGATTGTGTCAAGCCCCAATCACACATCCAGCTAGCACTTCTGGGAGCTTTAAAAATTTCTAAGCAGCGTATGTGCTCAAGATGAAAGGCTTTTAAAATGTAGCATAAAACTCTCACATTTTTTTAAATTGTAGCATAAAGGCTGACTTTAATAGCCATTGGGGATTCTTCCCCTATAAAGAGAAAATGCAAGCAGTAGTTTTAGCAGTCTTAACATGTATTTTTATTTTAAATTAGGTATCCTAGTGATTACATTAATGTAATGAAAGCCTGCAACCACTTTATAAGTAAATGTCTTGGGTTTAGCACTCTGTCAGTAAGAAAAGGCACAAACTCATTCTGTTAATGTAAAGTTATCATTTGATTGTATTTTTCGTATTTATTCTGCAGCTTTTCCAAATTCTGTTTTTTCAGGTTTTAAATAAGAACACTAAATAATGTTGAATTCTTAAGAAGGGCTATAAAGATTGTAGTATTTGAATGAATTAAACTAAGAGTCTGAACCAAACAAAAGAGAAGGCTGGGATGTCACTCCCTCTATACACAAGGGCAGTTTGAATGCTACAATCAGAATGAATTCATACTGGCCCAGGAAGATTATTAAAACAATAAAGAACCGTTCTAGGTTGCTGTCGGATCATTGTTGACTGCAAGAAGGTGGCAGGGCTTTCTGTTGAATTAACCCGATAAGTGCTGTTGAAACCCTGCAAGGGTGATGCTGACTAATTCCTGGTGACTCGTCGTGGCTAGGATATAATGCAGGAGGAATGGCTCAAGATGGAGTTCTTGGGCTAGGACACAGTGATTTCCCCTGGAACTTTCTTGAGAATTGTCTGGCTGTGTCTACACTGGCATGATTTTGTGTAAATACTTTTAATGGAAAAGTTTTTCCGTTAAAAGTATTTGCGCAAGAGAGCATCTATACTGGCATGTGCCTTTGCACAAAAGATTTGCTTTTGCGCAAAAGCATCCGTGCCAGTGTAGACGCTCTCTTGCGCAAGAAAGCTCAGATGGCCATTTTAGCCATCGGGCTTTCTTGCGCAAGAAATTGATGTTACTTGTCTACACTGGCCTCTTGCGCAAGAACACTTGCTCAAGAGGACTTATCCCTGAGCAGGAGCGTCAGAGTATTTGTGCAAGAAGCACTGATTTCATACAGTAGAACATCAATGTTCTTGCGCAAATACTCACGGCCAGTGTAGCCAGGCAGCACTATATTGCGCAAAAGCAGCCACTTTTGCGCAAAATCTTGCCAGTGTAGATGCAGCCATATTCTTTTTCAATGAACATCATTCTTGCTGGACTCCTTTGCATGGGAGCAGAAAAGAAGGGAACAGCTGAGGGTTATGTTTCTGCTGCTGCCAATTGAATTACCAATAAAGACAGACCTTAGACAGAGGGTAAGATGATACTAAATACAATCAGGAATACTGCAAGGCAGAATCAGAGAGGCAAAGGTCTCCTCTACTCTGTGCTTCCAACACATTTAGTAAAATATTGTCCCCTAGCTGTAGTACTGCTGCTGCCTCAGAGGCAATGAGGTATCGAGCCCCCAGGACTTCTTGCTCTGCTCATACAGAATGGCATTAGAGGAGGAGCTTGGACTGCTATGGCTGCCAAAAGAAAGGGGTGGTACTGCTTCTCTGGTTCTGCCCACACATTGTCTGCTGGGGAGATGAGAACTAAGGAGCTGGCTTTGGGGTGATGGAGGGAGGATATTGATGAGCTGACATTGGCAATGCACTGGGGGAGGCAGGATGCCCAAGACTTGAAGGCTCTGGGATGCTGGTTCCAGGGAGCAGGTAGTGGTGATCTGGGGAATAGCATTGCCACTGCAAGGCCCTTTTTTGCTGTGCAGCCTGCACAAGACCGACTTGGGAGCCTGAACTCCACCCATGTCTCCTAGTAATGCCTACGATCGCATGGGCTGGTCCATCCCAGGTGTCTACCTGGAGTGAAGGGCCCAGCTTGCCCAGGAGGCATTAGTGCAGAGTGACAGGACTGTGCAGAAAAGCACCAAACCTGCTCAGTAATTTTACTTCCTGGATTCGGATCAGATCTGGTAAGGCCCTCTGCCCCATAAACCAGTGTTTCTTAAACTGTGTTCCGGGGAACACCGGTGTGCCATGAGGCAGTCAGAGGTGTGCTGCGGAGAACAACAGAGTTCAAAATGGCTGCCCTTAAAGGGGCAGGTGTATTTAAAAAAAAATCCTTTGTGTTCTCATAAAAAACAATTATTGTTTGGTGTTTCTCAGTCTTAAAAAGTTCAAGAAACACTGCCATAAACCCTCCCTGTCTGCAGTGTCTACCCCAGTCTCCTCCTCCTGCCAGGGACTTCTACCCCAAAACTTCGCAACCCTACACCACACCCCAGATCCCAACTCCTAAACTCCACCTTTAACTTCTCCTGTGGCCTGCATACAGTCCTAGATTCTAATCATGCTCCCATCCCACAGAACAAGAAAATCCCCACTCCATTCAAAGTAATTATTACTTGGTTGTTTTTTCTTTCCTTTGAAGGCCGAGGAAACACTGTTTTAGTTAGCTTGCAGAGTCGCTGCCATCTAGGAAAATTTTGAGTAATGTCAGCAAATTTTTTTATACTTCTCCTTCCCTGCTTGAGACCCCGGGTAGGTAATTGACTATCTGATAAGCAAATGCTTATCAGACATAAACCCTCCCTGTCTGCAGTGTCTACCCCAGTCTCCTCCTCCTGCCAGGGACTTCTACCCCAAAACTTCGCAACCCTACACCACACCCCAGATCCCAACTCCTAAACTCCACCTTTAACTTCTCCTGTGGCCTGCATACAGTCCTAGATTCTAATCATGCTCCCATCCCACAGAACAAGAAAATCCCCACTCCATTCAAAGTAATTATTACTTGGTTGTTTTTTCTTTCCTTTGAAGGCCGAGGAAACACTGTTTTAGTTAGCTTGCAGAGTCGCTGCCATCTAGGAAAATTTTGAGTAATGTCAGCAAATTTTTTTATACTTCTCCTTCCCTGCTTGAGACCCCGGGTAGGTAATTGACTATCTGATAAGCAAATGCTTATCAGATAGTCGACTAATTGCTTCCCCTCCCCTCCTTGCTGTCTCTATCAGATAGAGGGGCAAGAGGAGGTAGTTCAAAGCGGCAGTGCCACACACACTGGCCGCTGGGGCTCTTGCACATTTCAAAGGCTAACTTCTCCTGATGGCTTTTGGGGGAATGGCCTAAATGAAATGAGATGGTGGCTTTAGTCCAGTTCCTAGTGGGCAAGTGTTTGCAACATTGCACTAGCCTCCATTAATATTGAAACTGGGCCAGAACTTAACTGACCTCGGTACAGATGCTTAAGGTATGGAGAAAGCTCTAGTTAAATTCAGCCCTAAACTTCTGGTGTAAGACTGGCAACAGTTTCAGGCTTGCACTGCCATAAGAGCTTGGAGTCTCTCAACTGCTTTGAAAGAAGATGCTACCATACAGTTGCATGTGAGTAATAGCGGGAGAAACAGGACATTCCTGCAATTTGCTAGTGCCACAAGTATCTCCTGTCCGTGCCATCATTCATAATGATGGATGGCCTTATACAAACCTAGGCAGATACCCTGCAACCCAAGAGCAAGGTATCCTTGTGTTAAAAACAATCCAGCAATCTGAGAAAATATCTAACATCCCTTCCATTGACAGGAGTTGATTATGTGGGTCTTGTGGAAGAAGGCTATGAGAGAAGATAATTCTACCCCCTTTCTAAGTCTAAGACATGAGAAGCCCAGCCAGGAGATCTTAATAAATGTTAGGAGGAAGGATGAAGATCACTTATCTCTTACCCTGATCCTGCCATCCATTGAATCCAGGGTTACATGAACAGGCCTGTAGTTCTACTCTGCTCCTTCCTTGGCCTCGCCAGGAGGGTGAGAGGACATTCTGGGGATAAGAGAAAGTTTGTGAGAAGACAATTAATACCCCTGTCAGTACTACCTAAAAATTACTTTTGGATACATCTATCCCAGACTATCACAATCCTTGCAGTTACCCAGCTGCTTGGGAAAGCTGGAAGACTTCAGCATCATTCTTGAGTTGGCTGCTAAAGTTGCTAAAATTTTACACAAACTCCACATCCACCTTCAAATTAGTGGGGTGTGTTTGTGATATTCTATATGCCTATCTACACAGCAACTCATCAACCCTCCCACCTTTCAAGGTCCTGGACGTAGAGGCTGGTCTGCAGCACAAGCCCAAAAATCTACAGAGCAATAAAACAGCTCTGCAGCCTGACACTCATATGCCTGAGTCTGCTGGCACGGATCAGTCATGGGTGCCTACTTGCTGTGTAGACATACTCTCAGAACAAAAAGATAATTTGTATTTACTGACTCTGGGTTTCACTCTGAGAATGTGCTGAGCACATGCAAATCCATGGATTTCAATGGCAGCTGCAGCTCTCGACACTTATTAGGAAACGTTTCTAATACATAGAAGTTATAATCACAATGTGTATGACATTCACATATGTAATGAATAATACTAGCTTTTAGATTATTTCATTTTACTTATATGTTTAAAGGTGGCAAGGAAAGTATAAGCTCATTTCTTTGTTCCTGAAATATGTTGCTTCCAGGCAGTGTTTTCTTTGGATGTATAATAGATGCACTAAATGAATCTGTATGCAGATTAACATAAAGCACATCTATACAATGAATGTAACATTAGTACCAATTGCTGTTTTAATATTAACCTCTAAGAACAAGGGGAAACTTAAATTTTTGTTGTCTGGGATGTATCTATGCTATGGCATGAATAGAATGTTTGGGTTTTCAGGGTTGTCAGTCTAGCATAGCTGACCAGAATGTAATTTGTGAAATATGTCTTCTGAAAGTAAAGACCTTACTAACTTTCTTCCTTGTTTCCGCTTCTGTTAACAGGAAGAGTGCTTCCTAAACCTAGAGGCTCCTATTTCAAGAGTATGTGGCTACGACACTCCTTTCCCTCATATCTTTGAACCTTTCTACATCCCAGACAAATGGAAATGCTATGATGCTGTTCGAAAAATGATTAATTATTGATAAAATTATTGCTGAAGCCTACATGCATTCTAACCAGAGTAAGTGGAAGGTTTGAAAGTAAAGTACTATTCATTTTTAAATCAGGAACTATCTATTGCTGCTGAAGTCATGTTTCAGAAAGGTACTTCATCCCCTGCCTAACTTTAAGCACAATAAGGCTATGTCTAGACTATGCTGAAGTTTCGAAAGAGGATATGCAAATTCTGCAGGAATTTGCATATCTTCTTCCAATCTCACTTTCAAAAGCGGAGTTTTTGAAAGTGAAAGTAGTTGGGACATGTTTTTTTGGAAACCTCCCCCCCTTTTTCAAAAAGCCACTCTTCCTCAAAAAATGAGGTTTACGTGGCTTTTCAAAAGGGGGAGGGTTGCCAAAAAAAAACGTGTCCCGACTACTTTCATTTTCAAAAGCTCCACTTTCAAAAGTGAGATCGATATGCAAATTCCTACTGAATTTGCATATCCCCTTTGGATACTTCAGTGTAGTCTAGACAAGCCCTTAGTAGCACAACTGAGGTCAATGCTCATAGTGAGGCACATGCTTGAGTATCTTGTTGAATCAGAATACTAAATACTTTTGCCCCCTGAGAAGTGTGATTGTTTAAAAACAATAGTTGATTGAAAGAAAAGATCTGTATTGCTTCAAGTATTTCATATATGAAAGCCCTTTGGATACTTCAGTGTAGTCTAGACAAGCCCTTAGTAGCACAACTGAGGTCAATGCTCATAGTGAGGCACATGCTTGAGTATCTTGTTGAATCAGAATACTAAATACTTTTGCCCCCTGAGAAGTGTGATTGTTTAAAAACAATAGTTGATTGAAAGAAAAGATCTGTATTGCTTCAAGTATTTCATATATGAAAGCCCATTCTGTTTGAACTTTAACATCTCTGATGGGCTCATGATGGGTTCATACCTGTGTAGTTCTGGTCATCTTCAACTCATGTTGACTTTACTGGGAGCTGAGAGTTCACAGCTCTTTGCAGGATTGACCCCAAAAGTGTACAGTACACTGAAGACATCAGTTTTCTCCTGTATCTTATATTTTGGTTCAAAGATACTTTCAAGCCTGTTATTTAAAGTTTAATCTACAAATAAAAACTAAATATTGCATTTTCTGTATAATTTTTTCCAGCTACTCTGCCCACTCGCTCAGTGAGACTTCAGCTGTTTATAAAATCCAACAAGCAAGCAATTTGTCAAGTGGTATGAATTAGTTTCTAAGTCACGAGAAAGTTTAAAACACATTCCTTGTCTCAAATTTGTTTTCAATGTAATATCAAAAGTCTGTTCTCTTCCTTCATAAACATACATAGTATTAGACTGTTCATCGGCCAACTAAGTCTAAGAAAGGAAGCTGAAAATGAGTATAATAGATCTTCTGTAACTACTATCTGATATTATGATATATATATGTTTTTAGCAGATGGGTAACTTACTATGGGCTTCAATGGCACTGTACATATATGTTTTAAGCGGATAGGTAACTTACTATGGGCTTCAATGGCACTGTAAAATAGTAGCATTATAGCTGCTGTATGTAAATATACTTTCATGAGCCTCATTTTTCTAACAGAAAAAGGAAATTAGAAAATAGCATAATCCAAGGGCACTTTATATATTGTAGTGCTAGAATCATAGGGTTGGAAGAGACCTCAGGAGGTCAATGAGTCCAACCCCCTGTCCAAAGCAGAACTACATCATCCCAGCCAAGGCTTTGTCAAGCCAGCATTTAAAAACTTCTAGGAATGGAGATTCTACCACCTCCCTAGGTAACAAGTCTCATTTGAATGTGTGAGGAGCATTAAGCGGCCGGTGTCTACAGTTTGCAGACACACACATTTTTTTTCTACCATTGCAACACATTTGTTTAAACAACTTAATCGTAGCTGGTCAGGCAATGACATTTTTGGGTGTAAAAAGTACAAAAATAATAAAACGCTGTTGAGTTGACATACCCCCCCAGACTTCTGTCGAGTACCCCTAAGGGTACTCGTACCACTGGTTGAGAAACACTGCTGTATACTTTTAAAGTAAGGACCTCCTCTGTTAGTTGAGATATCATGATGGTAGTTGTGGGTAAATGCATTTCTTTTTAATACGAATGGTTGTTGATATGATACTTTCCCTTGTGTATTCCCTATACTGAATTAAATGTGTCCAGTCAGATGGTCCCACAATTGTATATTAAATTCAGACAGTCTCTAGAGAACTCTTCCTCTGTGACTGTGAATGCATCTTTTATTTTTGCATGCTTATAACTTCAAGAAGGTTATAAATGGAGCATAGATAGTTGTCGCTGGTCTGTTTTTTTCTTAGGGGGAAATAACATCTCCCATGACAGAGGAGAAGCAAATCCAGAAAATTGTTCTCCTTCATATGTAAAAGAGCAGTCTGCAGCTTCTGCAGCATTGTGAAACAAAGTTTACCGGAGCGGTCAACAAAGGCTTCAGCTGATTGTCGGCACAGCGCAGCTGCCATTTTTATTTTAATGAAGCGGGGATTGTTTAAATCACCACTTCTTTGCTTATGCTGAATAAACTTATTTTACATGGCTCCGTCGACAGAGCCATGTAGTCTAGACGTAGCCTTAGGGGTACTGCAGTATTTAATTTTTACAATAAATATTTACTTTGGCTTCTTAAAAATAAATAAATGGATGTGGCAGTTTCTTTGCAGGTTGCCCTGAATTGTTGGTGCTGTGCCTTTATTTCCCCTTGTAACATGGTTTTCCTTGTGCAGTTAATATTTTTAGAAATTAATCTACTTGCCAGAGGCAGTAATTACAAAAGATCTGTGTTCAGCCATCTGCTCCACAGAATTCAGATTTAAGGGTAATGTGTTTTTATCTATTTTGCTATGAAAATGAAAGGATAATTGTAGCATTCGCTGGCTTTTATATTCAACATAATACTAATCAGTGAGGTGGTTTGTTGACCCAGAATTTTGAAGTCATATATTCCAAAGCCATTTATATGCAGGGAGCACAGTGATCTCCTGTAATAACTACCTTCTAAGAGATCATAGATGGTCTTCTAGTTGATAGAGCACCAATCAGATCAGAGTCATAGAAAGCTAGAAAGGCAGCATATCAGACCACGAGTTCCCTTTTCAGCCTATTTCTGGAAAGACGGAAGGAATTTACATGTGCCTGTTTCTGCTCCCTCTGATTATAGTGCCAGAGAGGAGTGTACAGCTGGCCTGTTAGCTGCAGAACTGGTATAAGTTTTAGGATCCCAGGCAGCCACTTGCTTTGGTCATGCTTATGAACAACAATCTGATGTGCAGAAAGTAATTTTCCTGGTTCTCAGCTGAGATCAAGTCTTTTATTGGAGACTTAGATTTGTTACTTGTAAGCATACTGCATGAACTCTGCCAGTTAGTCATGTCTTAGCTCTGTGCTAAATTTCGTTGTCTCTCTCTAGCTTGTTGTTTTTTGTATTAGTACACATCTATTACATAGTATTATGAGAAGGAATAATATTGAAATCACAGGAGTAAGCATTTTTTTACTAAAAAGGTAATTCTGAATATTTTGCGGAAATCCATCCCTCTCCATTCACAGGAGTAAGCATTTTTTTACTAAAAAGGTAATTCTGAATATTTTGCAGAAAAACAAGGGTAAGTGTCCAACAGCTGGCTGAGCACAGGTTTAATCTGCTTCCAGTATAGCTGCACATGGGCACTTGGTTTCACTTGTAGGATTGTGGCTTGGCCTGGGCAAAATCCCTGAACTGGAGACTGAAATAATTCATTTCTAAAAGTAACTTCTGCCTTGTGCCACTTTCTTTCTCCCCACTCCCCAACTGAGTTTTGTATGTGTTAACAATATATCACTTGCACACAGTCATTTCTCTTAATGTTGACATTTGTCATGGCTTTCCTGTTCATAGATTGAGTTGATAATATAACATTGTATGACTCATCAATGAAAGATAGGAAGCACAAAGTTTCCACATAACTAAGTCAGGCTTTTTAACAGCTTCTTGGCTGCTAGTGAGCTCACATTATACATGGCACTATTAAAATCATAGCTCTAAAAGTTAGCTTCCAGGTATGCAGCTGTGCTTCAAATAATACCCTCTAGTCGGAAAGCAATCAAAGTGGAAAGAGGGAATGTGATGAACATGAATATATATTCCCTGTATACCTGGTGCGGTTAATGGCTGTACATAAAAAAGCCAAGACATATTCGAAAGTGCCCTCCTGTGATGCACAAAATATCAGGGACAGTTATAATATACAGATGGCATCTGTGATATGGCATCAGACCATTCCAAGTGGCCATGCACAACTTTGTATTCTACAGGCCTGTTTCTTTCTGTTTGTGGTCAGGG